AATTAGCTATAATAAATGCTCCTTTAGTAAACCAAGGTATAAATTCGTTTAAGTAAAATAAAACGTCTTAGGGAAAACAAAGATAAGTATTCAAGTTAACTATATTAAATACTCCTCTAGTAAACCAAGGTATAGATTTAGTTAACTAAAATAAAATATCTTAGGGAAAACAAAAACAAGTATTTAAGTTAACTATATTAAATACTCCTATAATAAACTAAGACAGAATTTCCTTTAAGTAAAATAAAATATCTTAGAGAAAATAAATACAAGTATTCCAATTAACTATAATAAACGCTCTTACAATAATCCAAAAATAATTTCCTTAATTAGCAGTAACCATAAGTTAAACCACCACCGCCAAAACGACGAAGGGTACCTCCAGCATCAGCAAACTTCACAATAAAACGCAAACCTTGAAGACGCAAACCTTATACCAACGAATTCCCTTAATTGTCGCCAACCACAGGTTAAACTACCACCGCTAAAATAACGAAAGGTACCTCTAGTATTAGGAAATATTATAATAAGACGCAAACCTTATACCAATAAATTCCCTTGGTCGTTACTAACCACAGGTTAAACCACTACCGCTAAAATGACAAAGGGTACCTCTAGTGTTAGGAAACGTTACAACAAGACGCAGACCTTATACCGACGAATTCCCTTGATTGTTACGAACCACAGGTTAAACTACTACCGCTAAAACGACAAAGGGTACCTCTAGCGTTAGGAAATATCACAATAAAATATAGACCTTATACTAACAAATTCCCTTGATTGTTACGAACTATAGGTTAAACTACTACCGCTAAAACAATAAAGAGTACCTCTAGTATTGGCAAACGTCATAATAAGACGCAAACCCTGTACTAATAATACCGTTGCTACTCCTTGTATATATAAAAGTATAAGTGCTCTTCTTATAGCTACCTTTCCGCCAAGACTTATAAGTATAACTAGGGCAAGAAAAGTACTTAGAAGTAAGGAAAGAATATTAGTACTAGTTACTGCTACTACTTCAAGGACATCTTTTTCCGATTCAAGAACGGCTACCAAACTGGCATTCCTAAGAGCGCTTACAGCCCTACTACTAAGTTAGAGTAAACTAAAACAAGTAATTTACTCTAATCTTCATTCGAAGGAGAAT